ACAGTTTGAAAACCAGCAAAACGTGTATTTACTGTTTGAAATATAAATATAAGAAAACGTATACCTGATGGATAAATAGCAAAATGTTCACTTTTTAAATCGAGTATAAGTGATATACTAACACCCAATATATGTAATAATATTGTTACGAAGAGATAAATACGAGTTTGTACAGCAGGAAAAAGTAAAGTAGATAAACGATGATTATTCAAAAGAATATAATCAAATATAACTTTATGACGCCATGGTGATAAATAACGTACCAACATAACTACATTTCGTAATATAAAAGGAAAAAGTGATGTTCCACTTATAACTAACTATAAAAAAAAGAAGTTTCAAAAAAGTTAATTTATAAAAAAAAATAATATCAAATGAAATTATTTACTAGCATAATAAATAAATTGAGATAAATATCACGAACAAAACGTGAAAGACCATCTGAAAATGGTGATAATCCATTTTGATTAAAACCTGTTACAGTTACAATAAATGATATATACCATGGATTAATACTTGAATTTCCTTGTGATAATTGTTCAGAAGTATAATGTGTTTGTATCCAACCACCAATAGCAATAAATATTATTGTATAAATAGTAAAACAAGTAGCAAGAATAAGAGCAATACATGTTAAATAAGCACGATAACGAAGTTGTCGTGCATTTGGTAATGTTGCAAGTCGATTTCGAATATGTTCTGGTAAATTTCTTCTACGTCGAATATTAATCGTTGGTAATTCATCATTATTTTCATCATCTAATGCTCCATGATCATCATCCACTGTTATTCCTTCAACTCTTCTGTGTGTTTGAGCTTTAACAACTAATGCTGGTAATGTACTTATTGTAACACCTGATATAAACGTAAAAAACATTAGAACTATTTGAGATGCTTGTGAAAGTTTTGCAAAATCTAATGTTGTCAAACCACAACTAGATACACATGAACTACTAACAAACCATGCATCAATATATTCGACTTTCATTTGAAGATTACGTGAAGATGAATAATTTTCAATAAGCCAAACAATCAAACCACCCAATAATGCACAGACTATAAACCAACCCATATGAATATAAAAATAATAGCTCATTCTCCAACGATATCGTCTATTATTTGAACCTGACGATTGTTTTGCATCATTATTCGTTGCTTCATCTCCTACAATGTTAGGAATTGTTGATAATTGCTGTGGTTGAATTTGGACCTGTGATTGCACATGTGATAATATGTTAGATACATAACTATTGGATATTGAATCTGCTTGAAGACTAGGATTATCTATACCAGCAAGACTTAATCTCTCAGCTGTAGCAGCTGCTGCGAAAATATACGATGATCGTCTCTCGAGTTGCGCATCACGAGTTGTTAATAGCATTTTTCGATGGTTCGATTGTTTATGCTATTACACGCTGTTGATTGTATTATTAAGTCACTGCAGTGGATATGCTACCTTTGATATTCTTTATGAAATGAAGCATGACATTAATTTGATTCATGTTTTTTTTTTGCTATATTGACTTTATAGAAAAAAAAATTGATGAATCAAATATATATTTTCACAGTTTGAAAGGTAGGCACAATAACATCATGAAACTGAAACAACAGCAATGATTGTAGCGGGTGTGGGTAACTCGTAAAATATTTATTACATGAAAGAAGAAGATTGTTCAGTGTCAATAATAAAATCTTCATCAATTTTTTTTTAATATTTTCTTAATATAAAGAAAAATATTTTATTTTTTTTCTTACAAAAAAAATACGTTGCTTTTAATATATGAGAATCTATTATATAAATAAGAAGTGTAATTTGTTTTTATTTTACAAAACTAAGTTTACATTTTTGTGTATAATGTTTCTTACATACATAAAAAAAAACAGTTTTGTTGTCATTATGTCAAAATTTTGATTAAAATTGTTAGATAATAAGCGACAAACAAAAAATTCATTTGATCTTAACAAAGACATTTTTGTTATTTTAATAGTTATTGACAATTTACTAGATGAATATCTTATATCCGTAGGCAATTATATTTTGGTTCAGGCATTTATGTATATTTTTAGCTTGAAAAATTGTTAACTATATAAAACATGAAGTATTGATGAATAATTTTTTGGATGGTAATATTTTGACGGATAATATTGATAAGAATTTATTTTGTCTTGAATTATACATTGAATATTTATGAAATATTTTTACTTTTTATTTATTATTGTTATTATAGATGAAAATATAAGTAATGTAAAAGAGAAGACACATTATTTTTATTTTTATTTTTCTAATGCAGAAATTAAAAGAATTTATATGTAATTAAATTGAAAAGTAATATTAAGAAAAACAAAATACAAATCAATCTCTATCAATAACATATAGAACAACCTAGAAAATCAATTATTTAATAATTATAAAATATTTTCGAATTATCAAAAATTTTTCTCAATGATACAAAAAATTTACAATATTAGAAATTATTTTAGAATTTATAAAAAAAAAAAACAAATATGTATTTTTTTTTAGGCTACTCTCGATATTTTCACTTTTTATTATTCAGAGGACAAAACATAAAAAAGACACCCATCTCTCAAATAGTGTCTCGTACCTGTAAAAAAAAAAATTTCCGCTTGATGAAACGTAACATTTTGGAGAAACAATGATCAGTATGTCATAGAAGACAATATTGAGAAATTTTGACCCTATGAAAAATGTTACTGTACTTATCAAGATCTATCTGTAATAAAAGTTTCCAATTTTTATGATGAGTTATTCTGCAGAACTCTTGAAAAAGAGAAGAAAGGAGAAGGAAATAACCTTAAGACGTAATAAATCAATCAAAAATACTTTCTCAAAATGATACTTCTGAAATTTATCAGAATTGTTCAGTTCGTCAATGTTTGTCAAGCCTAATTTTCCAGTCCTGAAGTTAATCTTACTCCTTGTATTCCATCAAAAATTAATATGTGATGATATTTAATACTTTATATAAATTTTGAACTTTCTTTTAAAAATTGATCTGCTTCTAATGGGTAGAAAATACAAAAGGATTTTTAAGAATATATTTCATAACTTTGAATTCAAATAAAGAATATCAGCACAATTTTCAAAGTTTTAAATTCATTAAATTTATTATTCAAATCTTGTTTTTCAAAAAAACAATCAAACATCGTCAATGTACATATCAAAGGATTTCTATTAAAAACACTTTTTCCTTGGTTTAACTCATAACTTAAGTAAATTGTTTTAGATAATAATCAACTTTTTTACCTATATTCAATAGAAATACAATGATGACTATAACTGGTTATCAATCCGAACCGAATGAATAATCATCATAATTGCATTCTTATTAGTCACGAAAACAAACAAACACGTTGATAAAAAAATGTTTTTGTTTTTTTTTTGTTTTTTTTAAATAAATTATTTTTTCTATTGAACAACAATAGCTGCCATATGATAATATGAAGTAGAAATTGATAGAACTTGTTGATTATTTAAAAGATCAATTGATCTTGGTTCATGTTCTTTATATAAATATCGATGACCTTGAGCTTCAGCATGTCCTAAACGACCATCCGATCCACAACCCCAAGTAAAAACTCGTCCATCTGTTGATAATGCACTTGAATGAATACCACCAGCAGCTATCATTTTAAATGGACATGTATTTGTTAATTCAATTAATGTCCATTCACCTGTAAATATATGATCAATATCAATACCTAATTTAGCTTTATAATTCGAACCCATTGAATAAATACATCCTTGTTCTGTAAGTAATAAAATATGAGCATGAAATTGTCCACGACTACATGATATTTTTATTGGTCGATCATTATTATTATTATTATTAATTAAATCTTTTTGTATTGGATTATTAATTGATATATTTCGAAAATTTTCTTCATTAGAAATTTTACCATAAGGTACAGTTGATCCCCATAAATAAATATGACCTTGTTCTGTTATAAAACCATTTACAGATGAACCAATATCAATATGTTGAATTTTATCATTATCATCAGATAATTGATAAACAGAAATCCATTCAGTTGTAAATCCATCACGATTAAAACGTCGTTCTTGAATTTGAAAACCATTTACAACAATAATTATAGAATTTTCACCACAAACACAATGTGTTATTGTTTGTTCACTTTGTAAAATTTGTTTTGGTAGATAACCTATACCTTTTCCAAAACCCCATAATTCTCGTTTATCTGTAGTTAATAAAATAGTTGTTGATGGTCCAGATGAAATAAAACCAATTGGAGGAAGTCGACCTTTGATTAATGTTAATGTTGGTACAATGGTTTTATCATCACCTTGACCAAGTCGACCATATTTTGGTTCATCACCTACAACATATACACGATGATTGGAATCGAGAACAACAGTAAAATTTGTGCCACATGCTACTTGTTCTAAATTTCCTTCTAATCGTTGATTTATTGTTGTTTTTGTTGGTACATGACATTTAATTCGTTTTTGTGATTGAGAGTCATATATAATTCCCCATTGATACAAATTTGTTACCATATTGAACTAATTCAAATGCAAACAGACATTAAAAAAGTTTCTTTTTATAGTCTAATTGACGAGTTAAAAGAAAAAAACATATGTCGTCAATATAGGAATGAGTCATTCGACGTGTTACCATAGAAAGAATGACGAATAACAACAACAATGACGACATAAGAAAAAAAAAATAATTAACTCTACTATCCCAAAACAAATTTCATAAGAATTATTTAAGACTAAGAACAAATATTAATAATTATACAAAATGATAAAACAATTATAGTTAAATGGTGTAGTAAATCAATTCGAGATCACCTACTATAATAATATTAATGAAAAGCAAGTTTCATAGTATGTAATGAAAAAGCTTACGTGTTGTTAATATATGTATTATACAATGTAACAGACATAGAGTTGCTGTATATTGACAAAAATCAAAATGATAATGTTTGAAATGTCACCAAAAATACATAGCATATCTTAGATCAGGATTCAGACTTTTTCTGAATGCATTCGTCGTAAATGTCTTCCTTCATTCTGCACAAAACCCGTTTTTCTTCAAAAACAAAATCAGGAAAGAACTGAAAATTAAAGGAAGCCTCGTCGCAATTATCTCGTAAACTTTCTCCAACAAAGATATTGCACTCTTCAGATAGCTCTCGTCGAGCTCTATCGATTGTACACCTTCTCTCAATACACTTGAGTGAAGGTTCAATGACAAATTCACTAATGAGCCCTTGATTTATTAAAGTCTATATCACTTTGTTCAGAAGCTCTGTCTAACCAATACATTCATCGCTTTGAGTAAAGCTCGAAGAGTTGTATCGATTCTAGACTTCGTTTGGTATAGAGCTGTGTACTAACAATTAGAGAAATTCTCATGCATAAGCTTTTTCATAGATGACTAAGATTCAAAATCAAGAAACTATCGCCCACGAAAGTTGCTCTACAAATGTTGGTTTTTCAAATGACTTTTTCTAATTTGAAAGAGCATAAAAATTTACTCAGGAGCTCAATCTTTGACAATTTTTGAACTATGTCTTCTAATATCTCTCTCATTTAATACTTTTCACCCAAAATATCTGTTTGTCAAAAACAATGCTTTTATGATTTTTTTTGCTTATCAATTTTTTTCTCACAAAATTTTGACCAAACCCATTACTATATTATATCAATCCTCCTGAAAATATATAACAACCAGATACTTAAAAGAGGATGGTCGATAACTGTTGAAAATGTCTTCCTCGAGAAGTTTGATTTCTTCTATGTCAAACTATTACTCAATATATCCAAAAGTGAGTTCTAGTAAAATTAGTCATGACTCAGTAGACTTAAGACTATTTCAAAAATTTTCGTAACTTTTTTGTTTTTTGTTCAAAAACTCACACCTGAATTTCCTTCAAGGTCAAGTCAAAAATTAAATTACATGAAAAGTCGGATTTAATTGATGATTCATCTACTATTTGAAGTTCTGCTATTATTTTATAATGTTAGAAATCGATCGTCACTATTAAAATAAATTTTACATAAATTCATATTTTCACTCTAAATTTGGGACGGTTGGAGGTGAATTTTTCCATCAAAAAAAAAAAGAAAGTTGTGAAAATTTTGAAATATGTTCAAGCCTATTGAACTTTGATGATTTATTGAGAATATCATGTTAGTTATTATATAAATCTTAGTATTCTAAAACATTATCATCAATGAAACTAATACAGACCATTAAATTAGATCGCTTCAACTATCAAGCTTATATTAAAAACAAAAACTGAATGAAAGAATAATACAACAATCATATAGGACTAATATACAATTTATTGTCATAATGTATAAAAAGATATTGAAAATGTCACATTTCTAGT